TGAGATGATAAACTTTAACTTAAAACGTAATCTCCCGAATTGACCGGAATCCCCTGCCTCCATGATAATTGTACACAACAAGAAACAAATAAAAATACTGTCGGTCTAACCTAGGTTATTTTAACGTGATTAAAAACGTTTGTAAAGGATAAACGGCTAAAATATTGGCTGCGCAAAGAAAACATATATAGCCTATATGTATTTGGAAAAAAAACTATTCTAAACGCTCATTCATATCATCATAATAGAAATACTTACTGTCCTCGGGGCACAGGACCGCTCAGAATATTCACCATATTCCCCGGCGCAGTTCACCTGAACGGGCTACTGCTGCTTCCTGCGGATATCGGTTCGAATAGCCACGTGTGTTTGTGTGGGGTTTTAAAGACCCCCCCCCCCCGTGTTATGCATGTTCCCTCTCACCGCCCAGACACATGCGGGGTCGCCAATTTCGGCCATTTGGCTGGAGTGAAATTTTCAATTAAAACATGTCTGCACACACGCGCACACATTCACATTCATGTAAGAGTTTTACTACATCGTAAATTGTCTGTAGGATTTGCAAACTACCCCAACGCTTTTGATGTGGATAATTTTAGGTTTATGATGGAATAATGTAGATTTGCCGTAAGATTTCTTGCGTGAGATTCTGAAAGCCTGAGCGTCACGCCAGATGCCGGACAGTTGGCAGTCTTGCACTCGTTGCCAATGAAAAAGCGCATAGAGTTTCCTGCAATGGACGGGAATGTCTTGTCCCCCGCGACCTTGACCATGAATAGTGTTACAGCTACAAATTATTAGTTCCTTAACAACTAAATATAATTTATCACCAGCATAGTTGAAATAAAATGTTTTCTTTTAAATTGGATTAAGTTAAAACCCGATTATATTCATTATCAAACCATACCTTGCTATGCAAATGCTCTTTTTAACAGCAGAGGGAGCTCTCGTAAAACAGATACATTTTGCCAGAGGTTCCTTAGAATTCCTTAAAAGGAAGAATGTACTGAAATATGTTTGCCACGTAAAATGTAAACCACACAGTAGCATTTAAATTGTGTCATTAGAGTCTAATATGAGCTAAGGATGGTGGGCTTTGATTTAATTTCTGCCTTAGGAACTTTCGTTCTCATTGGTACAAAAATATATTAGTATTATGAACCGAATATGACGTAGGTGCACAGCTCCGAAACGCCCCCCGAAGGTTCGCCGATGTCCAGATCGGCTGATTCTACAGGCCATGGAAAGCTTTTGACGTCACTCTCGTGTCCACGAAACAAGTTTTAAATTTGTTTATCAGTGCGCATGGGGGCATTATCAAGATAAGATGCTCTTTTTTTTGGTTCAAGCACACAGGCGAAGCCTTGGTTCTGAGCACATGATCACCCCTTTATTTGGAGTAAGCACCTTTGTAAGGACCAGGGGCCCAGCGGTGATAATATGAATCTAGCGGCCAAAGTGTTGGAGCTGGTGACTGTCTAGACACAGGTACAGGTTCCAAATCACAGTCACACACTGGCACCCCATACTGGAATGTAGGGACGTCATCAGGGAGCAGCACTGGGAGGAGCTGGGCCTGTAAATCAGCCTGCTATCCCTTTATATGACCATGCTGAGCCATCATGGGCCTTTCAGACTCCCCCGACACTAGGAGGCGCTGTTGTGCATTAAAGCTTCTTCCAGAAAAGTGTGTTTGGTGCCTGTTAGTGCCTGTAGTGCTCTTCCCTTCCATTAAAACTAGTGCAGTGCTGAGGTATCACCCATTGCACAGCTGACCTCGGGGTCTCATGCCTGAGGGGGGGGTGCCAACGCACTGTACCAGTGGGCGCTCCTTACAGGGTCATAGGGATGAGCTATAGCTGTATCCATGCCAATGCCTACATATATGTGTGTGTATATAGTATATATCTATTTTAGAGATACATCAAGAAAGCACTTCATAGGAAGGCAATATGCTGCAATCTCAGGCACACAGATGTATGAATGAGTCACGCTGCTTCAAAGCGCCTTTGCCAAACTCGCAGCAAGACAGTCGGCCGCTGGGGGTCGCATAAAATGCAGCATGTTTACGGGTTGCACACAATTTATTATTACACATAGTATAACTAAACAGGCCCTTCCTTTTATGACTCCGACATCCTGCATTCAATAAAACAGGGGAGATCCAGGATTGTATTAAGTCTGTATTAAGTTTAACAGAAGGGCAGGCTCTGGTCAGCAATTCCCATAGATTCCAACCCCCCCCTCCCCCCCCACCCCCCAGGCATGTGAATTCTCATTCAGCGTAAGTCTTTTGCTAGATTGAACTGTACAAACTTGTTCCCTACAAACCGGAGCACATTTGACAGGAAATGATAGCCATATGGTGAGAGAACAGCTCCTGTTCCATTCATGGTGCAAGACCCGCCCACCCTCTGGTAAGACCCGCCCACCTCTCTGACTCAGCTGCTCAGTCAGCCTCACAGACACTTTTTGGTCCATTCATGGACATAAATAAAGAAAGCAGGAAGATAGCGTTTGGCCTCCACCTGAGAGCACAATGCACACGACCGTCTGGTCAAATCTGCGGTCTAGGACTGTAGACTGCAAAGGGACAGTTAAACCTGAGGCTGCCCTGCCAGTGAATCCTATATTAAACCAAAGTACACACCTTGGCTATTCAACATGTCTCCCGCATTCAAGAGGACATCTCAATGGCACAGACAGAATGCGATCGCCTTTACAAATATTCCATTATTCCTTAACAGCAAGTCATGACAGGCCCACAGACGACACAAGGCAGCATTAGGCATTTAAACACGATTTATTGTGCCCGATACAAAGGAAAAAAAAATACTTGTAACCAAGCTCTACAGGTGCTTGATGAATCTCAGCCTCAGAAATGAAAGACTTAGATGTGACTCTGACTCGCTTTGGCTACAATGAGCAGCAGAGCAAACAGGCGTGTTACTCAGTCATGTTATTACCCAACTCAGCACCAACCACCAGCGGAATAATGAGTAACAAAAAGAGTAACAATTTAATTGGATTGTCACATTCAAAAATGCATAAAAAAAATAGAGAAATAACAGGAGTTACAGTAACACCAGACAATAAACTGTGGGAGAGCCCAAAAGGCATTTAAACGAGGCCAAGAGAGATGTGAATTTGGATTCAATTACCCCCCTCCCAGATAAACAGACCTTTCTGTTTAAACTGTGTCCCACTTAATATCAAACTCTGTACTATGCCGTTGGATAGGACAGATACATAAAGGAAACCACAACTACCATAACAAAACTATGTTACCATAACAAAATTATAATGTTGCCTAAATAACAGCAAAGATATTACTACAATGCTCTTGCACATTTTGTATATTTTACTACATACTAGAAATATTAATACTGGGAATAAACTTCCAAACATCTCTAATATTTATTAGTTATACACCGTATGACTGGGAATATAAATCATAACATTGTATGTGAAGCATTCCAAGGATCCTTGCCCTCAGTATTCCGTCTTTGGCTCAGGGACAGACAGTGACGGGGGGGGGGGTCTGTCAGGACTGTAACCCGAGACGCGCTGTGGTGAAGCGGTCACCTCCGATTCGGGAGGGCTTGCTGCTGGCTGACCCCACCTGTCCCTCTCAACCCCAGCAGCTGCACATCTCCCCCAGCAGCTGCACATCTCCCCCAGCTGCCCCAGGACACGTCCCCAGCTGACATTCCCGCCGGCCGAGGGCCGTGCTGACAGACCATCAGCACCGGCGGAATTTCTATACAACATTTGGTTTCTCCGAGACCCTTTCATGCTCTTACGATTAAAACCGGAGTGGGGGGGGGGGGGACATCCAGCCGATAACAGGAAACCCACGGGAACTTCATAGTGAGTAAAATAAAGACCTGACCTCAAGCTGAGAGAACATCTCAAACAAGTATTAATGTAACATGAGGCAAGCTGGGCCGTGGAGCTTCTCCAGCAGTGCAGCTCATTATTGCTTTAATAAGAGAGAAGGCCTGGTATTTTGTTTTGGTTTGGGGGTTTACACCGATTTACCTCTCAGCAAGGTAATCAGACCAAGCCTTCCAATTAAAGGCTTCAGCCGGACGGATTGTTGTGGGTTGGCTTGTTTGTCAGTCCCCAAAGTGGCACGAGATCGAAATGCGCTGATAGGCTGACAGGGTCACTGGTCACGTGACTGACGTCGACTTTAAAACATTAAAAGCAGAGAAATATGAAGTGTGTGTTCTAGGTGATTATATCTGTGCTGGCTTTGTGAAGTGCAGACAGTCAGGGTGGAAGATGAGATATGGAATATTATATAGCACTATATAACACATAGAGAATGTAATCCTTAGGACAATACTGCAAAAATGTAACCAGCTGAAGATAATGTAACATTGTAACCTTGCTTGGCAATTACTGTTGCATGATGCGATCGTATAAGTATGCACTTGCACCCCAGTGAGCTCTAAGGCTTATTATGTGTCAATTTAATCTATAGCTTATCACTGTGTTATGGTGGTGAACAGTCGAGAGAAAGATGATGCTTAGGACATGTAACTGTTAAGAGATAAGAAAAGTGTATTCTTGAAAAGAATCAGCTTAAGCCAACAATGGACACACTTCTGCAGAGTGTCCAGTCTCGGATGTAAACCTATGTGAATCTAAACTGAAAATCTAGACTGAATATGAAGATCTACACAAGGGGCTCCTGACTCCTGATTGGCTGAGAGGGAAAAAACCACAACAGAGATAATTAAATGATGAATGTATAGGAAAATGTGTCTAATGTCAAGAGGTGCATTGATGTGGCTTGAATAATGCAGTATGCAGAGAGATCAGTCCTTTTCATCTGACAGAATAACACACTTTCGGCCCAGAGCACAAAGTCAACAGCCGATCACAAAGTTTTTCCACACCGTGTCCACCATATGCAACTGGTTGAATGGTGAGAACATAGACTGGGAGGTACTGAGCTGTGCCTATGGATGTTCTGCACAGCCCTTACTCACCAGAGAAAGTGGGTGGGCAGGTCTTGCAAGTAGGTGGACAGGGCTGGGCAGTCTGGTGAATAATGCCTCTCTCTTGCTTGTTAAACCTGTTGAGTAGAAAAAGACATGAACAGACCCGAAGGATGATTTCATTTCCAGCTGACATGCCTCGATATACTTGTGCCATTGGACCTAAAACGTGCTGAGTTAGCGAAAGGCGTAGACAGAGCAACCAGCAGCAGCCAACAAGAAGCTTAGTTTTCTAGCTACATGGAGCTGCAGATCGCATCGAGGTCCCTATTGACGCCATGCTGCAGTGCTGGGGTTGGGGGTGTGGATCTGCGCACGTCTGTTTATGATTTTATGCTTGTGTCCTTCACTGTGTTGAATGGTGCATGTCTGGCTCCGTCAATCCATTACATTTCACGAGGGTCTTCAAGTCCATGTTTGGTCTCCAGGGATCATGAATAACGTTCCTCACTTCTCTCCGCACATCTGTGTTTACCTTCCACCACAGGCTAAGCTTCTAGTTCATCTGCTCCTCGAGCCAGACCATATGACTACATCACCGCAGTGTAAAGCAACAACACATACACACACATGCACACAGGAATGTAATTATATCTTTGTGGGGACTCTCCATTCATTTCTATGGGGAAAACCCTAATCCCAACATGATGACCTTAACCGCTAACCAGCCCTAACCATAAGTAATCTGTCACTTTCACCAAGACCATTTATTTCTCTTTTGACCTACATCCTACTTTTTCAGAGGTATTGTTTATAGAGTTAACGGCAGCTTTTTCTCCCCCTGATGTACATTTGGTCCATATGTGCTGCTTCCAGACTGCAGGCCATGCCTTCAACTTGGTGCAGCATCGCTCTCGAGTCACCCAGGGACACCCAGGGACAATCTCAGTGATGCTTCTATGGGCAACATAACCGACCAAAACAAAGGCGACCTCAAAGCAACAGATTTCACTGTGACCACGGAAACGCCCCCTTTTCTCACTAATCGCAAACATGTTTTTCTACGTCGCCCCATTTGGCGCAAATCTCACAAAAGTGCATGGGAAAAACAACAATGCCGTCAAGCATAAAAGGAGCACAGGCTTCCTGGCTCTGGGAAAATCAGAGTCTTCGAAGTCTCCGGTTGCAATCGGAGCACTGATTCTACCCAAGTCGCTCCAGTCAGAAAAACAAAACAAGAGATAAGATCACGCCGCTGTTTTGTGGCGTCAGCTCTGTTCGGCTTCGCATGAATGGATTTATTTGGTCATCTTTCCTAAAAAGCAAAGAGAGTACAACCCAAACCCAGAACAGAAAGGCTGTCTGGCAGTGACACCAAAACTGAGAAGCAGTTTAAACAAGCAACTATCAGGCAGAAACGCACATCCTCAGTACCCCTGGCAACGCTGACGTATCGTCTCTTGAGTTTGGGTTTGTGCTTATCCAGCAGGGTTAGAGCGCCACGCCTGAGCGGCTGCGTCTGTGACCGAATCATCTCAGAAGCGACACGCAAGCACGGACGGCGCTCCATCACGGCTAAGCCAGCGAATGGGATGGGGGAAAGGCGTGCGGAGACATCGCTGGGAAAATCAGCGTGCGATTCTCTCACAAACAAAGTGTCTGGCCCCAGCATAACCAAAGCAAGTAGCTATCTATCCATCAACTTCTTAAGCCTGCTTGTCCTATTCAGGGTTGCTGGGGTCTGGGGCATGGTTGTTGATTTGGGAATGGACATGTCCCTACCAGTGTTGTAGGGGTATCATGTATGTGTAGGGGGGTGGAGGCGTTCAGGGCTGATTTGATCAGTGTTGAAACCAAACCTACGCTCTTGGTACACCATTTATACCTACGGACAATTTGGTAACTCCGAATCACCTTAGATTTTTTTTTTTTGCAGAATCGCTAGGCTTGGCCCTTCAGTGTCAGCGTAGGATGGGTCATTGTTTACGTCGCTTTCATGTTGTTCCGCTGTGGCTCGGCGCTCTGCCATGATTCTCGGCCTCCGGGGACCGGGGGGGGGGGGCAGGGGACCCAGAGGAAACCCCATGATGACATAAGGGATGTGAGGCAACAGTGCAAACCACTGCAGCACCACGTATGCATACCATTCCAGTCCCTGGGATTGCCACGAGATTAGCCTTTAGCCTAAACTTACCTCAGATCACCAGATCACATTCTACCAGCATTAAATCTATCTAGCATTAATAATCCAGCCTAGGCATTGTGTGAACAGGTCTACAAAACACTCGGGATGGACGCTGCAATTTCATTTACCTATGTTAAGTTTATTTGTACTTTAGTACACTAAGAATTATAACAAGTAGTTTTGTAGCGACTCGACATTTCTCCAAATTTGTCTACGGGAAGTTTGGAGCAACACAGATATAACCGGGACTCAATAAATGGATACTTTATTAATAAGGCTATGCTGGAGTTTAAGACACACTAGCTCTCAGGCCGGGAGCTGCAGTTGGGGGTGCCGGGTGATTTATCGCTGCCGGAAAGCTGAGACACCAAGCTTGGGGCTGGAGTTCAGACTTCCTCAGAACTTGAGAGATTTTAAGTGGCAAAAAACTAAAACTGGACAATCAAACGCATCGGAAATCAGCTGGCCAACAAAGAAAATTCGAGCCGTTCTTCCTACAAGTGACATTAAATACTGCTCTGTTTCATGGAAAATTCAAGCTATCGAATGCCTCTTTTCTCCTTTTAAAGTATATCTTCAGATAAGAGCTGACGTTCCTGTTTTAAAAGGTGTCACATTATGTCACGCTGCCAGGCCAGACAATGATGTCAATTGTTTGAGTTCAAGCTTCTCACAAAAATAAATAAATAAAAAACGCAGAGGCAGGCAGCCACAGAGTGAGACTGGCAGGCCACCCTACACATGGAGCACGTATGACACACACTGCTCCTCTGCTTGACAAATACAGATAAATACGGCTCAGGTGTTTTGGGGACGGAGTGCAGAATGTGTTTTCTGCTATGAATTTGAACCACTGAATTACTGAGTAGCGGGGGGTGCAGCGAGCACAGAGCGCAGCTGGACTGCGGCGTAGCGCTAAATTTAATATTATAGCATGACAGATTTCAGGAATTGGAATTCTTGCATGGACGATATATTTCTGAATGAGGAAGTGGTCATACTTTTCCCAGAATGCACTCCTCCGGTAATGGTCTGAAGACAAGAGTAAATAAAATGACCAGAACGGGGATAAACGTTTAAGCAGGCAGCGCATTGTTAAGGTTTCCACTGGCAAACGGTTTTCCAAGCAACCCCCCCCCCCCCCGTCTCCGAGCCAAACATTCATTTTCTGCCTCAGTATCCACCCACGTGTAAATTCCCACAGAGGATTCGGATACCGTCACCGAAACAGGAGCAGCATGAAACAAGCCAGAAGAAGGACACATTCTTTGTGGACGGATCTTCACTTCCAAAGAAGCATAAACAAGAAAACTGTGATGAGGCTGGGAGGGACACTGGATACAAACAGCAGTGGAGCCAGGAGTGGAACCAGAGCTGCAGTGGGGGGAGACACTGGTCAGTGGGGGGGGGGCCTTGCAAGCTGAAGCTCCAGCAATAAGGAAAATGTGCAACCTGGTGGCATAATTGTCAAATGGGAATGAGTATCCAGCCTATCACAAAAGCCCATTGTCAAGGCAGTGGGAGTAGCCGTCCTATCACAGCCGTCCTATCACTATCAAGGGTGTGTGAGTAGCCAGCCAGTCATAGAAGCCCATCGTCAAGGGGGTCTGAGTAGCCAGCCTATTACAGAAACACATTGGCAAGGGGGTATGAGCAGACAGCCTATCACAAAAGCCCATTGTCAAGGGGGTGGGAGTAGCCATCCTATCACAGAAGCCCACTGTCAAGTGAGCCTGAATGACTAGAGAAGAGCACAGCTAGCAGTTCCTGTTTTCTCCTTTTTGCCTCATGTGGGTGGTGGGAGGTAATTAGGGCTCCCACTGTTACGGATGGGTCACGGACAGTGAAGGGAGAGACGTTCAGGTGAGGAATCCCTGCGTTAGCCTGGTGCTAATGGACAATGGACTTTATAATTAGCAAATGGACTATGAGGGGTCTACAGAAAGCAGGTAAATAACAAAGACTAAGGCCGGGAGCCACACAGCAGCAAAAACGGGGCAACAACAGCTACAAAGACACAATGTCCGACTGAGGAGACAGGGCAAGAGCAGGCGTATATATACAGAGATAACGAGGGACAGGTGTGGGCCAGTTACAATCAACCAAACAGTAGGGCTGGAAACAACGAGGCACAGGACCCAATGCTTATGTTCCTGTGGCCGTACCAGCACACAAACATGGGGGAAGTCGATGGGTAGGGGGCAGAATCGAGACATTCTTTAGTGCCATCTGGAAACCTTAAGTGGAGTGGTCTGCTTTCCTTGCTGAGTCTCACACGGAGGACGGTAAAAATGAGAACGGGGATCCACCCGCCGTCCCGAATCCTGATCCAGGTGGCCTCCGTCACACACAGATGCTGGAGGGAGGCGTCGCAGAACAGGAGAGCCCCCCCCCAGCGACGACATTCTCCTCATGCTGGCCCCACAGCTGGGGAGCCTCGGTCCCAGTTGAAAGAACGTGCACTCATTTTATCCTTTTACACGCTGCCATGTCTTGCACCTGGACAGATTAATCTAATCCTGCTGAACTTTAAATACTGTCACTCAAAGAAATGGGGCTTGATAGCTACGTTCCAGATTTCCCTGGATCAGGTAGCGGGCGAGGACGCGGTACGCCGATCCGGCCTCCAGACACCGCCAAACATCGTAATTTATGGTCTACAGTCATTTGTTTCCATGGGCTCCTTCTGAAATCTTAGAAACGAACGATCAAGGATAGCTAGGCCAAGACACGTGCTTTAGAAGTCAGATCATCTATTGAGAGAGAAGGGGTCCCAGAGATGTTTTACTTCTAAGATACCATATTTCCCCGGGGGAATGATTGTAGCAGCCAGGAAAATATGGAGGGTAGCACTTATCCGGCAGAGGTGGGCCAGATGCGCAGGGTCTGAGCTGAGATTCGCTTTTGCTGTACACAGTCTTGTACATGTAGCAGGGGGAGTTTTGCGGTTGG